ACGCGGAACAAAGGAGGTCGTTGGCTCTGGTAAACTTTGCTGAACAATGGATGGGCCTTCACACGGATCGATACTAATATCTATCGCTTCGGTATTCGTTCTGTTGGCTGGATTCTGTTCGGAAAATGCGGTGGAAAATCTCGGAAGGCCGTTGGACTGAATAGGTTCTATTTCTTCGCTGGAACTGGTGACGTGTGCCGTGGGCGGCAAGGAACTTGGGTGGAATGGTAATTCAAATGACAAGGTACAATTTTCTTCTTCAGACAAAGAAGCCTGCACTTCTCTGTTTACTTTTGGCGTACTATTTCTGGCAACGGGAACGGCTGATTTTCGGCTTCTCAAATTATAACGCGGTAAACTTTTCGTAAAAACTCTCTTCACGGACTTCATAAAGAGACAAAAGAAATTTCTGGTACTCACGTAACTTGAGCGGTTCTTTACTTGTCGGCGCTCAAGGGATTACATCGGCTGGCGTGAAACTGGATTCGGCGTCTTCTTTGATCTTGATAACGTCCTGGAAGCTCCAAGAAGTGCCCGGCGTAACCACCACTGTGACGATAAAGTTTTCGCCCAAACTGGAGGACTGAATCTTCGCGGACGGCACAGTAACAACTGGGGGAAATAACTCGGTAGAGACGACTTGGCAGCGAGAACGGAAACTCGTCACGCTTTCCTGGTACACGGAGATCTGCTTCGAGCGAGCTTATACGGACGTCAAGGATAAGAAAATCTTTGGTTCCACAGTACTTTTATTCTAGGTCAGACCAACAAGCGACATGACCTCTAGCATACTCTAGTTTGTAATCATCAAAGCTGTACAAGGTACTTGCTTAAGAAGTAACTGGTGCGAAGTGCTATTGTTACACAAATCGCAATATTTGAATAAGGACACAAAGGAGCGGAAAAAAATCTCTTTGAAGTTAAACGAAAACTACTTAATTATTCCATCTGTTTCTACGACGGAAAGTATCTCAAAATTAAAAAGACGGATGCAATAAACTCTAGGCCATTAAAGTAGGAAACCTAGGTGCGAATTTACAGCTCTGATATAGAAAACAATACCTATCTTAATTGCAGTAGCGCAGCTCAGGAAATAAAAAAAAGGAAAAGCAATTAAAAGTTTCTGCTTATTTATGCAAGGTTGGTTTGGAAACCATCGCATGAAAAGAAATTAAATTTACGCGTTTAAACTCAGCTGCTATCTACCATGAAAACCAATGTTTCCAGAAAGACCATCAACACCCACATTTACTTAAAAAAAACCATGTCATAAATAACAAAAGTGCCGATAAGCAGGTGCATACGATGAAAGCGAGTAACAACAAAAATCCATTCAAAAGCTACCGTGGCTTTTTTATGCATTCCTTGACTTATTAGAATGAAAGGACTTGAAATGGTTAAATGTGAAAGTTTACGAATAAATATGTTCCGAATAACACACACGGGAAAAATCAGTAAATTTTCCCGTAACAATAAGTGCTGTAAGATTTTAAAGAGGACTATTGAAAGCCAATATGTTCTTCTGGATAATTTGTCTCAGGCCAAGTCCCAGAATGATCCAAACAAATACACACATCTCTGATATTCAAACAGACAACAAAGAGCGTCTATTTCGGTAAACCTGTTGATGGTCACAGTATGAAAGATGCCTGTCATCTGAACAAAGCGCTTTTATCCTTTATCAGGCAGGAACAATTTTCAGACAAAGGCTTCTCAAGCAGAGTTGCACGCACACGCATTCCAGTGTCAGTTGCGCTTGCGCAATCAAATCGATACTGCAGTTAAAACCAGACACATTCAACAGGAGTATACCATTTACGAGCAAAACGAGCCGCGAACTACATGCAACATAATCATGAGCTCCAAACCTTATCGTGTTGGTCAATGGATTCCTTCTGACCAGAAAGTTCTTGACAAATGGTTAGCCAACCTGATCACAGAAGTCAAAAGTAAATCCAAAGATAAGTTAGCGTTATTGATGGCTCTTCATCCACCGGCTGAAGATGAAGAGACAGCTAGAGGCGAAAATCAGCTAACAGTTGCTGAAGGTACAGAGGAAGACCTCGGTCTCCATCCGCCTGTTCAAGAATTATTAAAAGCTATCACCTCCGACCCCGAGATAAACATGTTCTTCCATCAGATGTTCTGGCAACAGAACAATTCAGATAGTTCGAAAGGGACAAGGATCCCTTGCTGGCAACTTATGATTATTTTAATCAATCACATCATGACCACAGCTCCGGAGTACAACGAAACTGGTTTGGTTGGCTTCCCCATCAATGTAATCCTGAACTGGCCGATGGCTACGACTGCTGGATTTGCTGCTTTCCTCAACGACAAAGTCAACACGTTGTTCAAAAGTATTCTCAACTATTGGGGAAAGTTTCTTTCCAGTTCTGCCTCTTGTTACGTGTTGAATGAAGATCCTCGTCATGGTTGGTTTGGTGAACACGCAATGCAAGCAATGCCAAACTTCGACAAAGAGTTCAAATGTAAGCCTAATGAAAAACATCACGGTTTTACTTCATGGGATGATTTCTTCACCAGAGAGTTCCGTAATGGCATTCGTCCAGTAGCATCTCCGGACGACGATTCCATTGTCGCGAATGCTTGTGAGTCGGCGCCATATCAAATCTCTACAGCCGTGAAACACAGGGACATCTTCTGGATAAAGCACCAACGGTACTCAATGGACTTTATCCTGAACATGAGTGACCTTGCCAAGCGATTTCATGGTGGAACCGTCTACCAAGCCTTCCTAAGTGCCACTAGCTATCACCGATGGCACAGTCCTGTGTCGGGCACCATTTACAAGACAGAACTCGTGGATGGTTCCTATTATTCTGCTACCCACAACATCCAGAATGACCCTGCATCGCCCAACATGTCACAAGGATACCTAGCCCAAGTAGCTGCCAGAGGTATTATCTACATTCAAGCTGACAATCCCGATATTGGCTTGATGTGCTTCGTGTCAATCGGTATGTCAGAGGTGTCCTCCAACGAAATCACCGTTAAAGAAAAGGATAGAGTGAAGAAAGGTGACCAGCTCGGCATGTTTCACTTTGGTGGGTCCACGCATCTACTGATATTTCGCCCTGAAGTTAATATCGAGTTCGATACGAGAGGTCAAACGCCAGGTCTAGATACCGATAATATTCCGGTTAAATCGAAAATTGCGACCGTACATCCAGCAATCTAAACAATTTAAGTAAGGGTTTTGATAAACAGCTTGATTTTGTCAGCGTTCGGTGTGAACAGGATAATTTTCTTTCTTTCCTCTAAGAAGACGTCTTTTGCTAAGAAAGAAATTGAGTTTTTTTCATTTTCACCTCGTCAGTTGTTATGAACTACTAAATTTAGAGGTCTTTGGCAACTACTAAAATTAAGAATGTTCTGGCTTAATGTTTGTGAATTGTTTAGGCCTGTTAGATTATTTTGCAATCATTATGCGAGTCTTGTGAGTCTTGATTTGTTATTTGCTGCAAGACTACACATTTATTTTTACCATTTGAGTAGTTGGTTCTCGACAGTTGTAATAGGCCTGTTGTACGATAATTGTCATCGCTAGCCGTGTTTGAGCTTGTCCTTGCTTAGAGTCCTCAGCGGGAAATTTTGTTCAAGGTTTTAGCTATCGAAGTTAGGAAGTTTTTTCTGGCAGATCTTTTTTATGCCTCGAGCATGTCTAATAATTGATAGTGTATTTTCAAACCGAAGTATTTAGTCAATTATTCTAGCATTTGTGATGGGATTTTTATTGATAGTTACTAACCAAATGTTTCTTAACTCACATTTGGAGTGAAAGTTTACAGAAAGTGCGATAGTAGAAAACTTAATCCTTAATGTGCACATTACTATTTATTTGATTTCTGATATGTAGAAATAAAGCACTGCAAGCGTGTTAAGGGCTTAGATGTTTTGCTTCCAATTGTTCTTGTTAAAACATCACATTCCACACAACATCTCAGCTGGAGAACAAAAGAAATGAAACGTGTCATTAACCTTAAAAATAAAGACAATGAGTGTTATCGATGGTGTCACATCACACACCTCAACCCACAAGACAAAGATCCACAGAGAATTAAAAAACTGATAAGAATTATATTGATTGTTTAGATTATTCTGGTCTGGTCCGATTTCCGGTCTCTATAAAACATTACAAAAAATTGAGAAACAAAATGACATCTGCATCAATGTGTTTGGACAATGAGCCAATACCTACCAACGGAAGGATTCAAATGGATGAGTGAAAAGAATATTGACAAACTAAATCTGGCAAAATATCCTGACGACAGTAAAAAAGGATTGGTACTTGAAACTGATCTTGAATATCCAAAAGAATTGCATGATAGTCTCAATGATTATCCCTTGCTGCAGAAAAACTGAGTGTGTCTGATGATACTATCAAAATATTGTCAAAAAATTAAAGACAAATCTGGTATGAGCATCGGGCAGGTTAAAAAGTTGATCCCAACATTACCTAACAAAGAAAAGTATGTCCTTCATTACAGAAGCCTTTATTTGTACATAGATTTGGGTTTGAAAGTAATAGAGTTACATAGAGTTTTGCAATTTAATCAATCCCTATGGTTGAAGCATTATATTGACTTATTATATTGAAACTGATCACTGATAACAAAACTTTGGTCAAATACAGTTCAAAGCAACATTTTTTAGCAGTAAATCTTTTTATGAAAATTTAGTTGCTGTGCGTAAGATCAAAGAAACACTAACTCTCAACAGGCCGGCATATTTTGGGATGTGTATTCTGGATCTTAGCAAGACATTAATGTATGATTTCACAACTATTATATCAAAGACAAGTACAATGATAAAAGGAAATTATTATTCTCAAACACTGACAGTTTGACTTATGAAATCGAAACGAAGGATGTTTACAAAAACTTCCGCAATAGCACACAGGTTTGATAACAATGAATATTCAGAGGATTCCAAACATTTCGCCGAAAGAAAGAAAGTCATGGAAAATTTAGATACGAGAGGTATACCAATTACTGAATTCATCTTACTACGATCAAAAATGTACAGTTACATGAAAGACAATGACAAAACTGCTAAAGGTATCAAAAAGAATGTAATCAGCAAAAACATCGCACACGTCAATTATAAGATCACATTATTCAACAACGAACAAATGTACCATAAAATGAATATAATCAGAAGCATGAATCACGAATTAGGCTGCTACAAGCTTACTTAAGTGTCTTGTTTTGATGATTAGCGTTACATTCACCAAGATGGCGTGACACATATGCATAATACAGAGACTACAGAATACAAAGGCAAATATTTTTGCAAATTTTACACAAAAAGTTTAGCGTTTTTTCTTTAGGAAAGTCCCTAATCGACAACATGTTTCAATGACGTCATCATGTGGGCTGTATGTCAATATTATTTCTTTAATTTATCACATTTTAATATCTTTATCTCTTTGCATTTATACTATAGAAATTCTTTGATTTTAACATTTTAATATCTATATCTCTGCGTTTATACTATAGAAATTCTTTGATTTTAACACTTTATAATCTTTCATCTCTACGGATCTATAATATAATAAATATATTATGGATTATAATGCAAAAAAGCCAGCGCAAAACATGTTTATCATAAAAACCATTTTTCAAGTAGCTGAGCAGTGATTTTAAAAAGTGGTTGTAGAAAGTGGAAATATATCCTTGCTGAGACTTGACAGATGATAAATATGTGCTAGAATCGTACTGCGGCGAAAATGCGTGAAAAGCCCCAAGAACTATACTACTTGCGTTTGCTAAACAAGCCAGAAACGTCATTCCACTGAAATAGAACCTGCCCTGAAATGTTTAACAGACTTTACTTTGTGGTTTTTATTTTTGGGAACTTAAATTTCGAAGAATGAAAAGGAAGTCGCACACTCCCCAAGGAGAAGCGTTAACTTCTATTTATACGTTGATTTCTTCTATTATCAGCTGACTTATTTACTCTTACACTTATCAATATCAACCCACCAGAAAATCAAACAAAACAAATCAAACGATAGTTCACTGTTTTTCGTTTTCGTGAAAATGACGATTTCTCTCTAGCGGCGTCTAGCCATAAACAAAAAACCTAATTTTTCAAAATTGACGCCCCTCGAGCATGAGTCAGATCATGCGCAGTGAGGAAACATAATGTAATATTAAGAATGACCTTAACACTCATCTCTTCAGCGGACGAATTAATCGAAGACCATACCTCTGTTGGTAATAACAACTCAGAATGAAATAGAATTTAAACCTTCAGCAGCTCAGTCTCGTCCAACAACTGAACAAGACTAAATGCATACTCCCTTAATTTATGAATATAGAGATAACTCATTATTAGCTTTACATAAAACACCCACCATTTCCGTAACGTTAAAGAACATTTACTAAAAACTGTCCAGTCAGTAAATTAGCTACGTATATTTACGTTCTATTGCTATTTGCAATTCACGCCATTTCACCCAACTCACTTCCTTCTATGTTCATTGATGTGTCCAACTTGTCGAACTCTGCTACCTCTCCATGTTTCAAAAATAGAACTTTGTCACAGTCCAGAATGGTGTTCAATCGATGAGCTATAGTGATGACCGTAGAATCTCTCAGTTTTTCACGCACTACGCCCCAGATTGTTTTTTCTGTTTCTGGATCTACATTTGCAGTGGGTTCATCCAAAACGATGATCGTGTTTCGTTGCAACAGTACACGAGCCAAACAGATCAACTGTCGTTCTCCTACACTGATATTTGCACCATTTTCTAACAGTTCGTGATCAAGTTGACCGTAAAGACTTTCCACTGACTCTTTCATTTGCACATCTTGTAGAACTTGCCACAAATCCGCATCGGTAAACTGCTCAGTGAGATCGAGATTTTTCCTCAATGAACCACTGAACAGCACTGGACTTTGGCCAAGAACGGATATGCATCGTCGAGTTTCCTGGAGGTTGATTGCCTTTATTGGAATGCCATCAATGATTATTTCACCACACGATTCAGGCATGCGCATTAGAGCTGCCACAAAAGATGACTTTCCAGACCCCGTCCGGCCAGTAACACCGATCTTTGTTCCTCCTTCGATATTGAGTTTGATGTTGTTCAACACTTGCGGTCCTCCCGGATAATATGCTAATGAAACGTCTTTAAGTATGATATTTCCTTCACTTGGCCATTTTTCCGGGGGTCGTCGTTCTATTATGTATCCAGACTCACACTCAAGCTTGGTATACGTAATAACTCGTTCAACTGACGTCATTAGATTCTCGACTTCCGCGGTTTTTCTTACGGCGTTTTGAGCCGGCCCAAATCTTTCGACGACGTAGGCCAAGGCAAGTCCAGCAAAAGCTGATTGAACGAAAAATTGGACACTTAGATCTTACCAAACAAGTTACTAATTGGTTTTCTACATCAAATAGTCAAAGAAGTTTTATAATCACTGGACCTTGTCGTAGGAGGTGATATAAGGCAGTGTAGGGGTTAATCATCAAGGGCAAATTCTTTTATGAGGATCGCTTCAGTTGCTTTGATGGAGGCCTGTTTGGATCGCATGCGGAAACGTGCTGTTTAAAGTGGCTCTAAAACTTCTCTCGGGTCTATTCGAATGCCTTGTACTACGTATACGCCTTTTTACTGATCACCATATTTCTGAGAAGCTGATGTGACTGCTTTGATTTTATTGAGGTTTCGTTCACTAATTTAAAGATAAATTTATGATTTAGGCTTTGTTTTGTTTATTGACTATATACTCACCGGCATCTTGAGATACCAAAACAGCTGCTAAAGCCACTGCACCAACAAATAGTGATGCAAGAATCTCAAAGCGCACACTGATCCATTTCCCACTGGCCAATACCAAGATGTTTGCTTGATTAAGAACATCATGATGTCTTTAGGAAAACACACATACAAAAGAAAAATTAGAGGAGGCTGTATTGTCATTTGGTCCATTAAACTTCTAAGGGACCGAAAAAAACGTCCATTAATCACTGGGACATCGCACTTATTTCTCCCAAAATAAGCAGAGGGAAAAAATGTCAGAGCTTTTAGTAGACTTTATTCCTACCCTTTTTCATAAGTGGGGACCAAGGGTGTAGCAAGGGGGAGAGAGGTGGGTGCTCTTGCTTGTAAACCTTTTTTTAAGCAAACAACCAACAATATCCAGGTGGCGAAAACTTTTGAGTACCCTCTGTTTGGCACTGTGTGACACACCCTGGGGACTGTATCCTCCTTATTGAGGTAATTATAATAAATAGTATAATAAACCCACCTGTAAAACTCCTCCACAAAATCACTTTGTCTCCCTCTGGTTCGAATCGTGTCGAGTCCATCAAGGGTCTCCGAAATTTTAGAGAATACTGGACTACGACATATGGACGCTAACCTCATAAGCTCCCGGGATGTCTTCAAATAATACGTGGAGAAGTATATAACGGCTAAAATCAACGGTACAAGTACGAAAAATAGCCAAGGATTCATAACAGTCGGGATGATTATTGACGCAGACACAAGTAAAACTGTATCGATCGCTGACTGAAACGTTTTGGGTAACTGCTCGTCCAACCAACCAACATCTTTAGAAAATCGATTAAGGATTCTTCCCACGGGATTCGAATCAAAGAACATAACAGGAGCTTTCAAAATGGCAACGACCATCTTGTCATGAAGACGCTCAGAGCATCGCAAAAAGCAGGAGAGTAATATAAATGTTCGTGCTAAGACAAATATAAGTGCTACTCCAGTAAGACATCCGTAGACTTCTAAGCTCGATCGATCTTTTTGATCTTGAGGAAGTTGCTTTGTCAAAAACGAGAGCCACACGTCAGGAGCAGCCAATAATCCTGAAAAGAAAGTGGCATGGCCGTCATTTCATCTGAAATCTAATACACTTTAGAATTTTGCGCCTTTCTTAATGGTCATATTGCATGTGAATGTTGAGATCTTCTAGGCCCAAGATGCATGAAAGTGAGAAGGATAAGGTTTTCCAATTTTTTTGGCTAGTGCAGTACCAGTGTCAAATGCGTGCTCCGCATGTTTCCGTAATTTATGTCAAACCCTATTTCTTATCATCGATATTTCATAAGCTATGAAGTGAAGCACCTATGGTTCTCCCTCAGTTCAGTCTTAAACATAAAGCTACCGCATGGCACATCAAGACGTTTCAAAACGGCAAACAACCTCACTTGGAATACTACGTAAAAGGCTCCAGTGTATGACGGAATATTTGCCAAAATTCTTTGCAAGGTGAATATTTTAAGTTTTTAGCCCATACTTTAATACATTGTACATGTTAAGGTAATTATATCGGGCGCATTTCGATTAACTGTTGTTAACTTCAAGCAATTAGGTTATAGCCAAGCAGAAGAAAGCAACACATCGCAAATGAGAACTCAAATTTAAGGCAAATTAACCGCCCGAGGTGCGGAAACTTTTACGAGTGACCATGTCGAAATTTTATGTGAAAAACTATAGCTAATCTTGTGCAGTAGAGGGATCCACAGTGAGGTATTTGGAAAAGCCTCTCTAAGTCTTACCTTGGACAATTATAGTGAAAAGGGTTATCGCCAAAATCATCCAAGTAGACAGTCCGCTTCTAAAATAGTTCCAGTAAAGCTTGGAAGAAATTACTCCGATTTCCCGATCTTCTTGTGGCGTCAGAAGACTCCTGGTTTCTTTCGATGGATTTTCAATTCCAATCAAGTTGCCAGCAGCTTCAACACCCTTATTTTCTTCCTCTCTCGCAAATTCCTCTCCTAAACTTCCTTTTGAAATCTTCTTATGGGGCGGGTCAATCGTGTTATTAAGGATTCCTTTGTCTTGTAACTCAAGGAAACCTCCCCTTTCCAGCATACGGCCCTTATATAACACGATCACTTCATCGGCATCTTTCATGTGATCCTTGTGATGAGAGGCCATCATCCGAGTTTTATTTCTTAGTAGTTCTTTGACACATTTTTCAAATATGTGTTGTCCAACTTTGAAGTCTACGGCACTCAGAGGATCATCCAAAACGTACAGATCTGCATCAGCGTACACTGCACGTGCTAAACTTACCCTTGCCCGCTGGCCTCCGCTCAGAACAACACCGCGCTCGCCGACGCCTGTTTGATCGGTGCTAGGAAACTGCTGGATGTCGTCAGCTAGAGCGCAAGCTTCAATAACTCTGGTGTACTTTTGCTCCTCGTATGACAGACCAAACAAAATGTTGTCTCGTATGGTTCCAGAGAATACCCAAGCCGTCTGCGGAACATACGCTAAAGTTCCTCGGCATGACACTTCTCCGTGTGTGCATGGAACTTCACCAGCGATCACTGATAGAAGAGTAGATTTCCCACTACCAACTGGCCCGGTGATGACTGTTAAACTACTAACAGGAGTGCAAAACTCGATATCTTGAAGAATGTAGGAGTCTTGTCGCTCCGCTTGCTTGTACGCCAAACTTCTCACACGTAATGACGTTTGATCTTGCAATTCATCAGCTGTGGAAAGATCTCTCCGTTTTTTCTGGCAATCTAATGAATTTCTCTTCATCTCAGATGGCTTTTCTGCTTCAATTTCTGTTTCTTTTTGGCTTGAGCGATCTCTTGAAATGACTCGCAAATTTTTCAAAAGGAGAAATTCTTCAATTCTACCAAGCGAGGCATAAGCTTCGTATCCCTCTAACAAGGCAAGCCCAAGGTAAGTGCCGATACATAATGTGAGCATGTTGTTAAATGAAACCAACACAAAGACATTGACTGGTGTAAGAGTTTCCTCAGTCAGCACAAGGGTAATGACAGACAACAATGTTGCAATGATAACCGAAGTGAATCTGAGGGCCAAAACACCTGCGCGTAGAACACATTTCTTTTGAATAATGGAAATTTCATCTCTGAAAAAAAAAGGAAGAGCAAAATTGGGATATTTTGAGAACAATTGAGAGTGACATACATACTAAGGGGTCTTGGTGTTCTTGGTGATCTCTTTGATTCGCTATCTAAAGATTATGCCAACTACTGGCAGATAACTCATTTCGCAGGAAATATGGAAACAGCGGCAAAAAGTAAAATTGGAATCGAGTAGGAACAAGAACAACATTACTTCATCTAAGAGCGCATTAAACAGCCTGCATAAAACTTGGGTTCAGTATACAACTATCAGTTTCATAATATCTTTACACACCTTCGTGGTTTCTTGATTTTTTGCCGGTATTCATCTTCCCACGCATGCATTTTGATAGTGCGTATCCCTGAAACAATCTGATTCATTAGAGAGATGCGTTGGTCAGAGACCGCCGCTGTACGCAAGCGCAGAACAGCACCTCCTTGGGACAGTAAGACGAAATATGGAAGGAGGAGGTACAAAAAGAATACTCCCATGAGAGACTGCCAGCCAATGAAATAAACCATTAAAAACGGTAGAGTCAGGAGCTCAATAAATGAAATGGAACCCAAAAAGATCCACTTGATAGTCTCTCCTTCCAATCGCTGAACATCGTTGGAAACCAGGTCAATCACTTTTCCTGTTGTGTACTGGAACAATGCGTCTTTGCTGAGTAGAAGTGTCTAAAAAAGAGGAGTAATTTTTTTTTCCAGTAAAAATGGAGCACGGATATTGAGTTTATAGCCTTCTTATTGGCTGCATGGAGTCATGTTATGACCTAATGACGAAGTTCCGAGCTCATAACCCAAAACCGACAAATATGGTCAATGAGTTTATCAGCGAAGTGAAAAGAAATTTTCTGTGAGTTAGCCGTGAAGAGATGGCGGAAAAAGATTGGTTTGTCCAAGAGCCTACGACTAGCGATTCCAATATCCCGTCGAAAAAGCTATTTTAATTCGGTCGGTAAATATACATCAAGGTTCGTACGGAAATTTAAGCGGTCTTTGTGTCACTGACCTTTCATATTAGCTTCACAGTCCCAAACTGAAGCGCTGAGATCTTGTCTTAAATCCTTTTACGCATCCGCGATCAAACAAGTTGGCACATTTTACAAAAAAAAAAAAAAAAAAAAAGTCGACCTGAGTGGCTATGGATGCTTTTTTCACTTGCATTCCCTATGCGGACAGATTAATTTCCACATGAAAACGTTTCAGTTTGGACTACTTCAGACTGTGCAAAGCTTTGTAAACTTTCAGAATGTCTACTTTTCTATTGAAGGACATTGAAAATTACACAGCGCTCATTATTTTATATTCATCCACTGGCATGAAGTTGTAAATCATGTTATTGTTTGAAGCGAAAGTTACTTTTGTTTTCCGGTCGTTGTTAAACCAATGCAAATGAAAGCTGGTTGGTATAGAGTTATACATCAGGTACAGAGGTATACATCAGCAGTTGTGTGCGTTTTTATTAAAACAGTTATTCGACTGAGACCTTTGCTTTTCGACTAAATTATTACATGCTCTACATTTTCTATAAGTAAGAATACCTACCTTATGATAAACAAGACCTTTAAGTGCAGTACTCATTGTTATTCCCAGTAATTCACATCTGTACATAATCATTTGAGCTGTCACTCTTTCCATCAAGGCGCTGATAAAAAGAGCCAGCGCACAACCATAGAGAAACATTTCCTGCTGTGGCTCAGAAGACATCAGCGATGCAATTAGATATCCAAGGAGCAGAGGAAGGGGAATACGGAAGAATGAGCGAAAAATACCCATGCAAATGAGGATCGTTAGTTCCCTAAAAGAGATTGTTCTTATGACGCTTTTCCAAAGCTTTGGTCGTCCTCGCGGAGTTTCATGGCATTTTCTCTCTTCCTTCCTCCAGTTCTCTTGAAGATTTTGGGTTAGGAATGAAGTACTATTTTCTTTTGAAAGAGGTAAGAAATCACTTTGCTCCAACGCTCGATGTTTACCTGTCCTGAAGACACTGTTCATCCATAGGAAGAGAACATAAGAAACAAAGCCAACTTTTTGCGGAGTTTTTTCGTCGTCTTGTGAGATCTTCCTATACCCATGCCTTGTCATCTCCGGATAGAAAACAGTTAACACTGCATTATAACAAAGGAAGGAAAACAAAAATGAAGTAATTAATAATATTTAAAATTTTTAAATTAAAATTTAAATTCAATAATTTTTCTGTATACCGACGCAAAGGTAGCCGTTAAGTCATAAAGTGGCTGGCAACCTCAACGTACGTTCTCTTACTTTTGCTGGATGGAATTTGGAAAAGCGATCAAAAAAATTATTAAACGAGTGTGAGATCAACAGAGACATCACGTGTTGTCATATGTTTTATAAGACTCTGTTTAGAGCAGTTATAAGCCATTAAGTACACAGAAGTGAAACTTCATTTCTTTGACTAGGCCTATCGCGCGCTCTAAGCCTAAGAAAGCCAGTATCGATCGATAAAGCGTAAAAGTAGTTTTTCGAAACCCTTTATTTGAATGATTAACCTTAATGCTGGGTGCGTGGACGAACAAAAAATGAATCCCTCTCCCCAGGGATGTTACTGAAAGCGGTGTCACAGTGTTTTGGGTAACCACGAGTTTTGGGTATCCCCGTATTACCTCTGGGGATACCCAGAACACTAAGAGCGAATTAAACAAGTGTCTGCATGGGGCAAGTAACATGGCATGCAGACGTCAGAAAATTATTCAAAGAAATTTCTCGCAGTTGAGATTGTGGTTGGTGAAGATAAGTGTCGACTGTTGTGAAGCTTCTTGGAAAGAGCGATCAGTTATCAGTTTCATGTGGGTTACTTCACATGTAAACAGTGCAGCCGATCGATTTGAGACACGCATGGAAGGAGGATATTTTCTCTTGTTGGGATTCCGTGTTTTAGAAAATGACCGAACCTTGTACTTTTTGATTAGCTCTGCGTCTGTGAATAATCATAACTGTCTGACTTGTTTACATACGTGCGTGTGAGTCGTGTGGGAAATTTTGCTCTTAAGTCAGAGACCTCAGCACTTGCCTAGCTAGCGACTGCAGCGAAATTGAAAAATTTTATCAAAGAATGATTTTATTTGTACGACCATGGGACGCGCCAAACAGGTAATGAATCTATAAGGCTTCAAAGGGGTCATTTGCATGATTATCGGTGGCGAGTGTACTTCCAAAGTTTTTCCGTAAACACGAGTAATCTCGTCCTTGAAGTGTGAACGAACGAGCATATTTTCGCGCTAAATGGAGACTATTTTGTTTATTATCCTTCAAATATTTTTGCTAATCACGGGAAAAAAAGTGTACGAACAGTTAACTGTTCGCTGCGTGGGATATTGTCTTTTCAGTGTTCTCTGGTACGATTTTATGAACATGAAAACATGTCCCCTCTTTTTTAACAACCACAAATCGCTCTCCTTCCTTAAATTGATCTTAAACGAAGACTTACCGTTGTGGACGTAGAGCTCGAAATATGTCCTAGATTATGATCCATCAAATATTCTTGATGGTCTAAACGCATCAAGTTAACAAATATTCCCCAACTAAAACTGGGGGATATCCGAGGGTATTACCAAGTGATACTCCCCAATTTTCAAACCTTACGTCCACTGAGGAAAGTCTTCGTTTAAAATCAATTCAAGATGGGAGAGCGTTTTATGGTTTTTACCATGAGAAGAAGGGAAATATTTGTTTATTCATAAAGTCTTACCAGAGTACACTCAACAAAAAACATCCCACGCAGAAAACAATTAGATGTTCGTAAATATTCTTTCACGTGCGTTGCAAAATATTTGAAGGAAAATAAACACAATAGCTTCTATTTTGCGCGAAAATATGCTCGTATATTTGTCCTCGGACATTATCTGTTCCTCAAAACTCACTTCTTTCCTTGACATCAAATGTTTTCGTTCCTTAAATTTTGCCCCTCAACGATTTTGAAAGAGAACGTGGGTATCGATGAAAAATATCTGTTCCTCTTCATAAAAGTAAACCTCAAACAAATACAAAACAACGAAAAAAAAACTTTTCCTATTTTCAATTCTCCATTTCATTTTATTTTCCCTTTTCCCATTCTCCATTCCCTATTCCAGATTTTAGAAACATACGTTTCCCCAGAATGGTAAAACAAAGCCAATTTCAAATTACAGTGAGGACAAGACCTTACAATTACAATTTCGAACAAGGCACGACAAAGAGAGAGTGTCAAGGAAGCTTTTAAGTTGCTTCAACTACTAATCACGGGAAAATGTCAACTGCTTTAAGTTGATTTGAAGGAGTGTTAAAACCTCAGACGGAAAAGCAGTCGCTCGTGACTTTTTCTTCGTCGCTCTCATGATTCCCTTAATTATATCATAGGAGAAGAGAAGAGCTCGTAACTCTCAGGTCTGTTAGCTTTAAAAGAAAGTTAACCTTTAGTTTAACTCACATCTGATCTGCGTCCGTTTTAAACTTCCTGCGTAAGAGGCCACTGGAAGACAATAGGAATGGAAGTACTGAAAGAAAGTGTGGTGCATCAAAATACAATCAGGAGCTGCGTACTTTTTACAGAACAGGGACAAGAGATGGCCATTTCTCGAAAATAACTGGTGCCGAATCTATCCAAGAACCATCGTATTCCTTTCACCTCCCGAGATGAAACTTGAGGTATGAATAAAGATCTGCATCTACAATTGTTTATTATACGTGACGCGTGATGAAGGCCAAAATTAACTTGTAACGCGTGAATTTTACTGAAAGGTGAACGTCATTCGTGAATTTATGAAACATGTCAGGCGACATTGGATACCCTGATTTATACTTGATCCCTGAATTTTTTTTCCATTTTGTGAACACCTGAAGATTTCCACGGCAAAAAAATATGTGTTCACTGTTAATTTTCCGAAATGGTGAATGACTGAGAAATTCAACATTAAACTGACGTTTTCCGATATCTGAAAACGTGCGGCAAATTCACTGTTCACCCTCAGTAAAACTAAGGAAAAACACGAAATTCATCGCAAGTTATCCAGCACCAGGAAAATACCAATGAATAGCCTGTTCACCTGAACGTTTTTCTATAGTTTTCGCGCGTTTTTCTATAGTTTTCTATAGTTTTCCAAGCGTTTTCCCACAGAATAACTAACGGTGAATGCCATAAAAACATGATGTTTGTCGATTGTTTTCCTGCTCCACGAAAACGCTATTGTATAGCTTGTTTTCCTGAACATTTTACTCAAGTTTTCCCGTGCGCGCGAGCGCTGCATTTTCCGAGCATTTTCCTCGCAGAATTACCAATGGTAAATGCCATGAAAACATGATGCTTGTCGATTGTTTTCCTGCTCCACGAAAACGCTAGTGTCTAGCTTGTTTTCCTAAACGTTATTCTATAATTTTCCCAAGCGCGCGAACGTTGCATTTGTCGTTTAATAATTCCTTGAAACCTTGCACACAAGAAGAGACATTTGAAAATTTCCCTTTTATATCCATGACGCGTGAACCAATATTTCGAAAATTCGTCGTAATCCGGCAATATCGTACCGGTCCTCTTTTAGCTTAACTTAGTTCCAACGATTTCAAGGGATGCGTTCCAATTTGCTTCAGTAAACCCACCGTTCCTCAAAAGGTTCAGTAAAGCTAAGCTTCAGTAAACTTGATCTTATCAAAAGCCTAGATAGCCTAGTTATACCGGGACCTGCTTAAATCATAGTCAAGAGAGCGTTGATAAATTCATACGTCCTATTCTTAAAATAGAAATGTGATTTAGCTACACTTTGATTTGATTTTGCAGGCCGTACATACAGAAAGAAGCTTTACAAACCTTTGTAATTGAACACTGGTCTGTTTCAAGGCAAATGACTCTTAGACATCTATCCGCGAGCAGTGAAATAGTAATTTTCTTGGATACTATTGGATCAACAGTACTGTATCGCCTTGTGAACAGAAGGAAGGGGAGTCAAAACATTTAAACCTTGTATCGTCAGTGGAAATGAAAAACGAATACCCGAATGTGTTGATTTTGATCTCAAATTTCATTCATACGTTACATTCCAAGCGTCATTACAAGTTAAGCTTGGTGCTAAGATCCTACGTATGGAAAGATAAGCTTTCAGCTCACTTACCATATCCATCCATGGCTTGGCTGAACGAATACCACAATGCTCAGGCACTTTCATTTCACGGTAAGTCAAAAGTTGATTAAATGATATAATAACAAGCCTGAGATAGGGAAGTTCAACCAAAAGATGTTCTTCTTACAAAGTTTTTTCTTCTTTCTTTTATCAAAAGCAAAGAATAAAGTGTCCTTGGGACACGATTATTCTAATTAGGGTCACACGCATTCAGTCGCGTGAGAGCCATCAGGTGAACTTTATCCGAGCGATACATCAACCCCGAGGTGGTTATATCAACTGACTATTCTTTTTCCTTTCAGGTAATGACGACACAGATTTCAAAGCTTGATAGATATTAAACGTGTCAAACGAGCCGAAAGTCTTTTCGCTGCAACTATTAAGCTTGTGGTCTTTTTTGAGTGTCGTATGTCATTTGAAAGAAAAAACTCGCTCCGCAAAAAATCTAGAACATTTAGGGTTAGGCTGGTTGTTGAATTTAGCCTGAAACAGTACTATTCAAGAAATTTTGAGATTTACAGAGCGTGGTCAGTAATCTTTTCAAAAATATCTCGATGTTAAAAATGGATATGTTATTTTCAAGAAATATTCGGTTTCCCTCGTAATCAGATAAACCTCGTAATCAGTTAAAATTACGTAAACGGGGAAATGATCTTCTTTTAATGAAGCTCCAAATAACAACCCGCCCATATCCCGTTCACCAAACCATTTTTAGCAAACATACTTTAAGGCCCAATTCGTAATGTGAATTCTATAAAAATTAGATTTCCATTAACCCTTCCTAAATTCTAAGGAAGTCTTTGGTAAATGTGTGAATAACTAAGAGCTTTTACTGATAGACAATTGATGTATGTTACTTCTCACGAGATATCTTAGACTAAGATAAAACTTGCTTTCATACCTTCCAGCATATCTTAGTAATTAAAACAACACCAATCAGCTCTCTTTACATGGCTATCAATTTTTTAAGTAATA